GATTTTTCAGGTTCGGACCGTGCGTACTCTTGAAGATCCGGATCATCTTCAGGAGCCATAGGAGGAGCTACATCCTTGAGTACCGATCCCTGTGGGCCGCTTCCCTTGGCGCGTAGCCTCCTTTAAACCGGTTCCTTTTACTGAGGAAAGGTTCCGGATGCTCCTTCCTGGTTTCTTCGAGCTGTCTTCAGGCTTGCCTTTGCTAATCATGTCCTCTGGCGACCCGCATGAGAGCGGGCCAAAACCAGCCACCAAGAACCGGGAGTACGGTTCGATACGTATAGGAATGGGCCAGAAAGAGCCACCAAGAGCCGGGACTCGATCTGTTACGGATAACAGTGGGCCTGAAACAGCGACCAAGACCCGGGAATACGATTTCGATTTGTAACGGATCAGAGTCGGCCAGAAACAGCCACCAAGAACCGGGAGTACCCGTGACGATTTCAGAGTGCGCCAGAAAAACCACCAAGGGCCGGGAGTACGATTTGTTGCGGATAAGAATCGGCCAGACAGAGCGACGAAGACTCGGGAGTACGATTTGTTATGGATAAGAGCCACGAAAACCAGGGAGTACGATCTGTTACGGATAAGAATCGGGAATGCAATTCGCTACGGATATGAGTGGGCGAGAAACAGCCACCAAGACCCGGGAGTACGGTTTGTTACAGATAAGAGTGGGTCAGAAAGAGCCACCAAGATCCCGGAAAGGGATTTTGTACGGTTACCGATTTCGAGTGGGCCAGAAGGAGCCACGGGAGTACAATTTATTACGGACAAGAGTGGGCCAGAAACAGCCACCAAGACCCGGGAATACGATTTGTTACGCAAAGGAGTGGGCCAGACAAAGCCACCAAGACCCGATTTTTGTTACGATTACGAGTAGGCCAGAAGCAGCCACCAAGACCCGGGAGTACGATTTGTTACGGTGAAGAGTGGGCCAAAAAGAGCCACCAAGAACCGGGAGTACGGTTCGATTCGGATAAGACTCGCCCAGACAGAACCACCAAGACCCTACTCGAGCACGAGTGGGATCTCGGGACTTAGCTGGTACCGAGGTCCTACTCTCGATACCTCCAGACAAAATCTTGAAGATTGTCCTACCATTCCAAGAATCAGTTGTTCTCGTGGCAGAACGCTCAGAAGAACGCCAGTCATCTTCTTGAGTCACACTCTTGCCCTTGGAGAACTGCATGATCGTCTTGCGCTTGTTGTCCAGATACTCCAACGGAATGGGCACAAATCCCTCTCTGGGTTCGTACTTGACATTTGACCTTTCGCATCTTCTTGTGGATACGGATCATCTCCATCGGCTTCGTTGATGACCCACTCATCATCCGTCGCCAATACGAGATGGTCGGGTACCTCTTCCTGTGAAGAGCTTCCCAGGGTCTTCTGGTGGAACCCGTACTCGTAGTGGGAGAAGTAAGTGAGGAAGCTCGACTTCTTGTGCTTGTCGAAACGAACGTTCCGCATCAACTTGCTGAGGTCGAAGATCAAGTACCAGATGTGAGCTAGGAGCAACTCTCAGCTTCACATCTCGAATTCCCAGTACAGGGCTGCTAAGCAATGCCGTGTCGGGATGGAGTTCGAACTGGAACCTCAGGTTGCGCATCTGCGGCAAGGACATGAGAATAGGAACATGCCCCTGCTCCACGATGTCGAACTCGGTCGATTGAACTGCGTACTCCCTGTCGCACATGCAAATGACCAACTTCTGGTTGCACTTGGTCGACTCGGAGTTGGCAGAGGTGATCTGCTATGGCGTACCAAATGCCACAGTTCGGATTCGTGTCAAAGAACTGCATGAGGTCCTGTGCGGCCGCTTTCGAAGCCATAGCTCTCGTGCATCCCAGATCCAACACCATCGAGGTCGGCGTCAGGGGCTGAGGGATGAAGGCTTCCTCGATCTTGTCGATGATCTCCTCGGTGGCCATGAAAGAAAAGTTCAAAGGGTTCACGTGTTCAACGAAGAAGGTTGTGGCGGCTGTGGTGCCGCAATCAGCAAGCTGGGCTTGTCCGTCCTTTCCGGACTTCCCATTTTTCCATCTTTGCCAAACTTGCTCTTTCCTTTGCCCTTCTTTCCTTTCTTTCCTTTTCCTTTGGCTGCGTAGGACTCCTCAGACTCCTACCAGGACCAGTCATCCCAGGACTGATCGCTCCATTGGCTGTCTGGCCATTGTCCATCTGCTTGCCATGCATCGTATTCTTCGGCAAGGTTAGACCTGCCTTTCTTCCGTTTGAAGAAGGGCCTTCCACCGGATCCCTTGCCACCTTTTCCTTTGCCTTGCGGCGGCCCTTGAATCCGCGCTTCATCTTGCGACCTTGGAAACGTCGCTGAACTCGTCGTCGTAGACCCAGAAGGAATCTTCATCAGCTTCTAGACAACCTTCTGTGCCATCCTCTTCGTCCTCGACCCAGTAGCCTTCATGACTGTCCAAATATCCTTCATCGATCACTAGGAACGTCTTGCGGCCACCATGGCCGGAAGGAGCGAGGAAGTCTTGGTCGTGCAGAAAATCTCGAGGTAGACTTCGCGCAGCTCGCCAAGGCGGTAGTCTGCCAGCACTCGGTTCCGATCTGCCATCAACGATGTCAGCACCTGTTTCTGATCTTGCGTGAGGTCGGACAGTGCGACAAAAAGCAAAGCAACGAGATTGGCTGTGATCGGAATGGTCCGAGCATGCTGGTCTCTGAGCCGTTCATTGGCCCGTTCCATCGCCTGCTCTGGCGTAAGACCTTCTTGTTCTTCTGCGGGAAGTCCTGCCATGTAAGCTCTGACCTCGGCGTTGTTCGGGTCGACGATCGGCAGATAGGTGTCATTCCACGCTTCTTGCATTCTCTGCACAGAGAGTTGAAACCTGGTAATCCAACGAAGCATGTCTCCATTCCCGCGGTGCAAGTTCATGATGCTGGAAGCGGTGGAGGAAAACATTTGCTGCTCCCTTCACGAAGAGGGGCCTTAGGAAGCTCTTGAAGTACTTCACTCCGTTGGTTGCATCCTTCAGGCGATCCCTGTCGAGAAGCCTTTTGTGGATAGCTGCTTCACCTTCTAGCCGATTTCTCAAAGCTGGTCCACGCTTGTCAGCATCAAGCTCAGTGATGTCACACCAGTCATCGATAGCATCTTCATAGGCCCGTCGAACCAACTGCTTCGTCCATCATAAGATGGCGGTACTTTTGTGGTCACCTGCTGGGAAGCTGAGAGACGGTGTAATTCATTGAGATGACGATGATTCGTCGCGTAAGATTCACTACCATGAAGGAGGTAATCTTCGTCTCCTTCACCATGCTCAAAGATAGTCGCAGAGTGGCTAGCCATTGCGCTGTCCTCGGATCGAACCCCAGGATTACTCCTCCGGCTGTCTTCACCTGTGTGTAGTGTGCCGGAGAGACTCCGGTCACCTTCACGTGTGTGAAGCACACCGGGTATTCCGGTTGCCTCCACCTGTACTCGACCTGTACGGAGCGTACCGACGGTTACCTCCACTGGTGTGAAGCTTCCCGTTGACGTGTATCCCCTCGCTATGCGTACAGGAACACAGGCACTCAGGAGTCTCTTCTCCTACAGGCGCACAGCTGTAGTCCACTGCACTAGAACCTTGAGCAACAGGCATGGATACATGCAAGTGATACGTGAAACAGACAGGCACCTGGATTTGTAACATTCAGTGTTTCACCCCGGGCCCCCTTCCCAGGATTTAAATTATTGAATTCCCGGCCCGAATTACGTAATGTAAAATTCAAATATGGGGAGAGGGCCCCGGATTTATAGTGGGAGAGGGCACCGGATTTACATTAATAAAATTTGTAAATTCCTGGCCCGAACTAAATATTGTGTATTATTTTTTGTATAGACAGATTTGCATAATTTAAACCGTGGGGAGGGGGTCCCGGAGGGGGTCTGGGGGCACCGGAATAGAATAATCTGAATCCGGGGCTCTCTCGTAATGTTTGAGTTATTTAAAGCATTTACTTCCTGGGGTCCCGGACCACCCCCGGGACGCCCTCCCCAGGACTTAAATTATTTACATTGTCAAGTATTGAATTCCCGGCCCGAATTAAATAGTTGAAATATTGGGAGAGGGCCCAGGATTATTGAATTTGTTTAATTCCGGGCCCGAATTAACTAATTCAAACAAAATATTGGGAGAGGGCCCCGGATGTACACTATTTAATTTACTTCATTCCCGGCCCGAATTAAATAATTGAAATCCTGGGGAGGGGGCCCCGGAGGGGGTCTGGGGCACCCGGAATTAAATAATGTAAATGATTTAAGTCCGGGGCCCTCTCCTAATATGAAACATACATATATATAATAATAATAATAATAACAATAATACTAATACTAATAATAATACTAATACTAATAATACTAATAGTACTAATAATACTAATACTAATACTAATACTAATACTAATACTAATACTAACACTAATACTAACAATAACAATAATAATAACAACAATAATAATAATAATAATAACATTCTTGGGGTACCGGACCCCCCTTGGGACCCCCCTCCTCAGGATTTAAAATAATTAGTTCGGGCCTGGAAATAAATACTTTAAAGAAATTTAGATATTGGGAGAGGGCCCGGATTTAAATTATTTACATTCCTTAATTCCCGCCCCTGACCCCCTTGGAAACCCAAATAGGGTTTATTTGGAAGCTGCCTCTTGTGTATATAAGAAGGATTTAGAGCGGATTTTCCACACTAATGCAGCTTCCAAATACATTCGGTTTAAGCCGCACCCGCCCCCCCCCTTCCCACACCCCCCGCTCCCACTTCTGCATCCGCTCTGCTCTTTCACATTCTGTCTCAGGCGGGCGGCGCAGCGTTAAAATAATTCAACCACGAGGTCAACCGTCGGAACGCAGCAGCGAGCTCGCGAAGGTCTGTGCGGACGCACGCATACTTTACATATACTTATGTTCGAAGTTCTAATGCACATGTCGGCCAGAGCACGGTATGTTCAGAGAGCGCGTGGGTGCGCGGGACCTTGCAGCACACCTTGCCGTTGGGCAGCTGGAGCCGCTCGAAGCAGACCTCCGTTCCCGGCGCCGGCTCCTTGGCCTCGATCATGAGCGCGGTCCGTGGCAGCCCATAAGGCATTGTCTGCTTTGCTTGGCTCGCAGCGAGGTCCGTGCCGCCGGCCGCCGCATGGGGTGCCTTGAAAAGCTCGTGTGCTCAGGGCGGCTCCCCTCCCCTGGTCCGACCGCTCCGAGTGCCTCAGCGAGGAGGTGCCGGCGCAAGGCGGAGCACCAGTCCAGCTGCGGGCTCGCGCGGATGTGGACGGTCAGCCGCCTCTCCTCCGTGCGCCGTGCAGTACGACTCTCTGCAAGTCTCTGGCACTGCGAGAGACTTCGTCCAAACTCGCCTCGGGTGCGGAGGTGAGTGTGAAGGGATGCCTGCAGTTGCACAGTTGCAGACTTCCAGCTTCGCAATGCGGTGTCTGCCAGCCCGACCATTCACCCTTCCACTGGAGCATCACGTACTGCCCGGCCTCCACGGCTGTGAGAGACACGACTGATTCGTACGAGCCTTTTGTGAAAAAGCCACTGAGAAAAAGAGCTCCTGGTACTTGAAGTTTTCGGGGATTTCGAAAGTGAGGTGCATCACGTCGAAGAGGAGCAGCCGGGCCTCAAAGTCTAGACTCTATAGACTCTACCAAACTTCAGACTTCAGGGCTCGGCGGGCTCGGGGCCCGCACGGAGGTGAGCACCAAAGGGTAGCGCTGGCGCTGCCAGAGCAGCAGCCGGTCCACGGCCACGAAGAGGAAGGGGAAGAACATCCAGACCCAGAACCTGCAAAGCCGCGAGGCTCGGCGCATGATGCTGATGCTCTGATGCTTAAGGGCGTCGTAAGGGCGGCTGTCGGTTGTCGGGTTGTTGTTTTCTTAGTCGTCGGGCCTGGAAGTGCCGTGGGCCAGGAGCAGCAGGTAAATCAGCGGCCAAAGGCTGTGGGCCTCTCCGCATGAAGGAGCAGCGGGAGGTATAAAGGGGGAGAGAGCTGGAGGGCGAGCGCCGGTCCCGCTGGAAGAGTCGGAAGCCGCCGCAGCGCCGCGCCAGGCACTGTAAAGAAGCAAAGCGAGAGCAGAGAGAGTGGTGAGAGAGGCGGAGCTTCTGCAGCTTCTCTATGCTTTTCTATGCTTCTCTTCTCTATCTTCTCTTCTCTTCTTCCCAGTTCCGCTTGGGCTCAGCCCTGGACGCAGGTGGCCCGACGGACCGACGGCAGCGCCGTGGCCTTCGCTTCTGCGCGGCGGAACTTCCCCGGTTTTGCATGGCCCATGGCCCCTTTTTTGGGTTTTGTCTTGGCTGGTAGCATAGAGGATGCACATCAAGGCCGAAATGAAGATGCCTCGTCGGCGGAGACAAGACGCGGTTCATCTGCGGGTGAAACGGGAGCCTGTGAAGTTGGAGCGCGAGAGCAGCAGCTCCACCTGAGACGGAAAGAGACGGAGGGATCCGCGCTGCGCGATTCGGACTTCGGAGACCATTCAAGACAGTCCAGAGGCCCTCGCAACGGAGCTGCCAGAAAGCCGCTCCTTGCGACTTGCAGTGCTGCAAACTCAATGTGCTCTCTGCGCCGTCAAACTTTCGTCCTCCTCGGAGAGGCGCCAGGCTTCCAAGGGGTCCGACCTCGGTCACGGGAAGGCTGCACATGCGGCACTCAGCACTCCCTCCCTGGTCCTGGCTCCGCACTGCAAGACAGGCGACCCTGCGATGTGAGCGATGTGGATCACGTGCGACCCAACCTCCGCCCCACTCCGCTCAGCCGCCCGTCGTGCAGTGCGATGCATGCGATGCAGCCTTCCGAGCCTTTGACCTGGGGGCCTGCGCTGCAATGGGGGCCCGGGCGTGTACGACACTGTTCAGCGCAATCAGCGTCGCCACGGCGATATGGAAGGAGATGGGGTCGTCCAGCGGCATCCACCTTAAAGCACCAAGCAAAATCAAAGCTGCTTAGCAGCTTAGCTCCTTTGGTTCCAGGCTCCCGTGCCTTGCCTCCTTTGCCACGCAGAGCCTTCCGAGCCGCTCAGCACAGCACTGCCAGCAGACTGCCCTGATACAAGAAACGGTGCCGTGTGCAATGGGTCGGGACCCTTCGAAACATGTGCGCGCGCGCGCGCGCCCGCCGCTGGAGCGCTCAGCTCCGCCGCAGGAGACGAGGCAAACCGCCACCCGCTCTCCCCGCAACCGGAAGGGGCCGTCTGCAGGGATTTCAAGGTGGGCAGCAAGAGCAAGGCCAGGTCCAGGTCCAGCCTCGGCCGCGGCGTTTAGTCCCCCCCTCCCTCTCTCTCTCTCTCCCGCTGCTCCGAGCTGCGAGCGCGAAGCCGGCGCCCTTGGCCATGGGATAGGCCAGGGTCGCCTGGAAGCCCAAGCCTCGGAGACGGCGGGGCGGTGGGGCGGCGCCGCTCTCTGCTCTCTGCTCTCTGAGGCCGCGTGACCCACGTGAAGGAAGAAGCCCCAGGCGAAGGTAGCGACGTTCAGGAGGATCAAGCAAATCATCGCCAAGCGCTGTCCTGGAGCAGCAGCGGCACGGCACGGCGGCGCTCGTCGGGGCGCATGCCAGGCATCGCATGGCATATAGCCTTCGCCAAGGCCAATGGCCAAGAGGCACCGGTAGCAACGCGACGGCTTGGACCTCAGCGACTCCACGCAGAGGCCCCTCTTGGAATCAGAAAAGCTCTGCGAGATCTTTGCACTGACTATTGACTATGATGTTCTCACAGTCACAGGAAGATCCGGCTCAGTCGCCTCGCCTTGGCGCCTCAGCGTCGGCCAGCGCCTGCCGCCCAAGCTCCGGTCAGAGCGTCGGGTTCAGCAAAAGGTGTACAGACGGCTCAAAAGGTTCTCAGGTTCTCTTCTCTGTGACGGCAATGCACCGGGAAATGCGGGCTCCCCTAGACACCAGGTCAAGGGCCCCTTCTGGGATCTTTCCCCACCTCCTCGGGCTCGTTTGGACCTGGCGACGTCAGCATGTCAGATGTCCGAACACCTCTCTTGAAGTGGGCCTGGGCTGTCAAGATTCTTCCATCGCTGCTGCTCTTGAAGCTTCCACTCCTCTCTGCACTCAGAAGTCAGACGGGGGAGGGGTTCCCCAGTCCTTGTCCCTTCGTGCAAGGAGGCCTTTCGCTTTTGGATCTGATCCTGCAGTCTCTGTTGGCCCACCAGGTAACCTGAGGCTGCGAGCTGCGTGCGGCGCATCGGCGCATGTGGCGCTGCTCTCAGCCGTCCACGCAGGACACGCGGGCGGTACCTCGCGGTGGTTGAAAGCCGCCGAGAGCCATCGCAACTGGCGGCCGCTCTGGCTCTGTGGCTCTCTTCGCCGCCTCCTGGAGAAGAGCCAACTCTTCGGGTGCTTCAAGGCGTAAACCTCCGCTGCGGCACGTTTGGGCGTGGGCTGCACGGCACTATACGACGACGGCACCGTGGGCCCGGGCGGCAAGGGAGAGGTAGGCGAGCAAGCCCAGCGCGGCTGCCAGTCCCGCGACCAGCAGCAACACCTGAGCGGAGCAATGCGAAGTAGAAACGGAGCCGCTTACGCAGCGGTTGTGCTCTGCGCCTCTTGCCAGCTCCAGCTGCGAGGAACCACCAGGATTGTGGCCTGTCCAGGAAGCTTTTTGAGTCGATTCAGTATAATATGTGGAAGCCACGTTTCGTTGATGCGGCGCTTTCGCGGCTTTTCGCAGGCGGTCAATCGCTCTGAATGCAGTTTCCGGCCTTGTGCGAGCGATTCGAAAAGTCGTTGTTTCGAGTGCTCACCACCTGACAGGAACACAGAGCCGGTGGCGATGCGCCCGTGGGTGCTCCCTTTGCCGCCCTGCCTTGTGGCTGCCCAGCGTCTTCATCTCCACCAGGCCACCGTCGAAGTAGGCGGGAGCACCTGCCACGTCCGCTGGTCCGCAGCGCTCTGACTCCCTGAAGTTTATCCGGGTACAAGCAACTTGCCAGAGAAGCCGTTGAGCTGCTTGCAGTTCTGGATGCTATTCTGGTTGTTCTCTTCCGCATCGCAGAGATCCGGAGACTGGCCAAGATAGGCAAACCTGGCAAGAAGCGAGCCGAGACGCCAGGGCGCTGCACTAGGCAGGTCAATTGCTTTATCAGGCTCTCAACGACGCTTCCGGGTTTCATCCAGGCCTCCGCACCAGCTCCTTGGCCTCGTCCGGCGATGCGGAAGCGTCCAGGAGCCTGCAAACGCCGTCAGCAAAGCCCAGTCCCTCGTCCGACGCTGTCGACCCTGCCCCCGTTTTCAATAGGTTCCCGCTGGATTCACTCGGCATTTCACTCCTTTGGGGTGTCGTCTTGGGTTAACGTCTCTTGCTGGATTCGCTCCCTCCCTAGGGTTTTCGTCTTAGGCAGTCACTCCTTAGGCTTGCGTCTTGGGTTAAAGTTGCCTGCTGGATTGGCTATTCAAGGGTTCCCGCGAAATTCACTCCTTAGGCTTCTCGTCTTCCGGAAAAGGTTCCGGCTGGATTCATTCCCTACGGTTTTCGTCTTGGGAATTCACTGCTTAAGGTTCTCGTCTTGGGTATTTGCACCTTAGGGATTTAATCTTGGGTCAATAATCGTGCTGGTCACTCCTTAAAGTTTTCCACCTCGAAGCAAGAGAGTATTCTGTTTTGGCTGTGGGAATGGGCTCGTTCCCTCCTCTTATGCAAAGCCTGAGACTGCGGGGTTGGTTGGGGTGGTGGCGGTAAGCTGGGGTAGGTGGGGGTAGGTAGGAAAACGAAGTGACGTCTAAGACCACAAAAAGTTACATATCAAAGTTACACAACTCAGCAGCTGCCGCCGCCCTGAGTGGCTGGCAGGCGGTGTTGGAGCCAGGGCAAAGGCACCGTCTCCTCACTTGCGTTGGAGCTTTCAAAGAGCAAGAACGTCGAGGGCGGAAGCGGAAGCGCGGCTCGCTCTGGCCTCGCTGTCGGCCACCTGCGCCACGGCAGGGAGGGGAGGGCCGGGCCCCCCCCCCCCCCCCGCGGAGGGAGGGGCCACAAAGGGAACCAACTCAAAGAGACTCCGCGGCTCCGCGCTGCGCGCCTGCACCAGATTGGAGCGGTCCGTGCTCTGCCTCCCATTGCCGTCGTTGCCCTGCGCGAACCGCCGAGCGAAGCGCCGAGCCGCCGCACCGCTTCCGCGCCGTTAAGTGCAAGCAAGCCGTTACAATCGCGTCGGGGTGGGCGTGGGGGGGGGACTTGCAATCCGGCGGGACCCCCCCCCCCCGCCCCCGAGACCGTGAACCTTGGCGTTGGCGTCGGAGCCCGTCCTCGCGAACAGAGCGGCGCCATGGGAGCCGCACTCCTGAACAGACCTCGCTCTGCCAATCACGAAGCTACCAATCTCGCCGCGGTCCACTGGAAGTGAAGGAAGTCGCCCACAGACACCGTCAGGTCCTCTCTGGGATGCGCTTCTGGCGAAGCGCAGAAAGATGCTCCTCGGTGGCGCACCTGCGGCACGAAGTCGTACTCCACGGATGGATAAACCTGATAAAGCCAAGCCGTGGCAAGCCGTTGACATGCTCATTCGACGGCCTGGACGATGTTTCCGCGGCGGCCGCGGACCTCGCAAAAGAGAACTCTCTGGGGCGGGATCGCGCGGGACGTTTGGGCGGAACCGCCCAGCTCTGCCCTTGGCGTTGTAGTTGACGATTCGCGCCGAGCTGGGCACTTTGGAAGGCCGGGGACTGAGGCGGTGCGCAGATCAACACGGGACTTCGGGACTGGATGGTCGTAACACGGATGCCCATGCCCTGGCCTCACGACGAAGGTATGGCTCCTGACATAAAATATCTTGAAAGAAACTCCAAAATTAAAATGCCCCGCTGCCCAGCTTGGTGGCGCTAAGGGCGCGGCCGGTCCTGAAAGGTGCGGCCGTACTGATTCGTGTTCACCTTTTTTGCGCACATCGCAACAACATCGCAGCATTCTCAGCCGCAAAAGCAGTGACTACCTCTGCGGGGTCTTCACGAGTCACAAGAGTCACAGCACAAGCAACAGGATGCATTGGATACATGATCTGGGAGAGCTCGTCTGGTTTTCCAGCCTGCAGCTGTAACTGGAAGTCCTCACCCAGGTCCAACCAGTCACCGACGGGATCTTGTGGAAGAACGGGAGGTCCGCCCTGCCCAGGCGCTGACTGAGACTCGGAAAAGTGGCGGATGCTCCAATTAGTCTTTCAGGCACCTTGAAGGGCGCTCGCCGGCGCTGGCCGGGGTCTGGATCGTTCAGGGCCTGAGGGCTTAGGAGAGCTTTGGAGCCCATTTAAGGGCCTCTGAGCTCAAAGGACCCGCGGACAGGCCTTGTCCAGGGCGAAGTAGTCCTCCCCCAAATCCATCCTGCAGAACAGGGCGCGGCGCGGTTCGTCGGGAAGAGCTCGCAGAGCTCTGCGCGAGGCCGAGGCTGGTTCGTGGCCGGGCCCTCGCCGGCGGCCAGGGACGTTGGCCGGAAGTCCCCGGTGGTGATGTTGTAGCGCAGCCGCAGAACGCATCCTGGCTCCAAGGGCACACCCGTATACACCTTGAAGAAGCGTCCCCGTCCCTCGCTGCAGAAAGAGCCCTCAGAAGAAGTGAGTAGGTACCGGAGGTACCGGTCCTACCTCGATGACAGGTGTAGGACCGAAACATCCTCCTGTCGGCCCTTTTGAAGGCGCGCCCGGGCCTTCCTCGTTCCTGTCTAGCTCACGGACAACCACTGACAGAGTTTCCGGAGGACCCAGGACTTAGGATCAGCAGGAAGCATTTCAGACACGCAGGACAGTTGGCCGAACGCAACCCTGCTTTTCCTTTGAGCAGCCCTTCGAGCTTAGCAGCTAAGCACAGCAAAAGGGACACCGGTTTACAGTCATTGAGTCATTGGGCCAGTGCAGCACAACGATTTCAAAGGGAGCCCAGTTCGCACACGAAGCTCGTCGCACCAGCGTTGACAACTGGGACGTTGAAGGACACCAAGCCTTGCAACAACTGCCAGTCATTGGGGATTTCAGTCGGCCAGCATCGTTGGGCACCGACGGTGGGCATCGATGCTGGCCTGTGGCCTTGATGCTTTTGACCTCTGCTACATGATTTGCCAAGCAGAAGTTGAGCTAGAAGTCTCAACCGCTCGAGGCTCAACGCCGGTCCATTACGTAAAGCAACTCTCGAAGGAGAGCAGGGCTGGAATGCACCCGACTGTGTGAGCGCTCCCAACATCAGAGAGCAAGACCAACTTAAGCACGGGGTCATTGCACATGTCGAGATTCGTCGTTTTGGCTCCAACGCTAACAGGAGAACAAACAAGTTCAGTCTTCCCCGAAGTGTAGTTCAAGTCCAAGCAGCGAGGCTGACAACTTTGATGAACCAAGCGTGCTGCACTGCTGCACGTCAAGCAGGAAGAAGATCGCACTATCGACGCCAAACATGACGACGAAACCATCTTGCCAAGCCGTCGCATGATCCCAACGACAGAAATGCTAGCCATGCCAGCCTAACTATGCTAGCCGCTCGACACAACGGCATCAACTGGCCCTCGAGACGCCGAAGATAAGGTCGGCGGTCGGCGGTTGGCAGCCCCCTACAACACAGCTCCCAATCAATGACTGAAGGAAGCTCGTCCAGGTATGGGCGAAAGCCAATAACACTGGAAGCATGCTCTGCATATGATACGAGTCCTGAAGCGGACTCTCTCTCTCTCTCTCTCTCTTGCACGCAGCCAAAGAGAGAGCGCGGGGTCCGGCTCCCTCTTGCGCACGAGTGCGCACTGGAAGCAGTCTCGGCGTGAAACTTCCCCCATGGTCGGTACGAGGCGCCGGCTGGGACCGTTGTAACCCCCGACCCCTCTCTCTCTCTCTCTCTCTCTCTCTCTCTCTCTCTCTCTCTCTCTCCCTCTCCAGACCAGAACTCAGCGAGAGCAGCTGTTTCATGGGCTCACCTGATGGCCCACGTGCTGCCGTCGGCTGAACAGAGCGTTGACCTCCTGGCCTGAAAGGAGCAAGCCTTGACAAACCTGATTGCCAGATCCGACAGCTTGTTCGCCTTCGCTTTGAGCAGAGCACTGCCTGTATTAGGAAAGGCCGCGCTCAGAACATTAGTAAACTGCAAAGCTGTCCACACGCTGAACTGCACTGTCGGCAGTCTGAGCAATTCATGCAGTGCGGCACATCCTGGTTAGCACAAACATCCTGCCAGAGACCAAATAATGATCAATTGATGTTTGTACAGATGCTGACATTGTGAACGGCGTCGTGGCGCACAGACCGCAGAACGATGAACCGTGGGCCCTTTCTTGCCGTGAGTTCAGGATTCGACTCTCTTTGAGTCACTTTCTTGACCAGCCGCAAGATCTTGGCAGAGTTTCACAGTCAACCCTGTTTTGGCCGATCGGATTTCAGGTCTTGCACCTTGTAGCTTGTGTGCTGATATAGAGGCTCCTGAGTGGGTCCAGCAAGGCATTTTGAACTTTCACATCGGTGACTCCTCGGGAGCCTGGCATTCAGACTGTTTGGAGCGATGGGTCGGAAATTCAAGGCCATGCTGGCTCAGCTTGTTGATATGGAGGGCTGGTCGATTGCGGTTTTCTCTGCTGCCTCTTCCAGGGCTTCGAAAGTCGGCGAAAAGATCTTTGACGCATGCGAGTGTGCAGGCTATGTCTGCGTGCCCTCGATTTTCCTTCACTATGATTGTAATTCGGCTGGGTTGGCCGTCACAGGTGATTGGACAATTCCGGAAGGACCCTCGGGTGCACCGCATCGGGTGCATAGGAGCTAGAGCGCTTTGCTTGCTGTTGCAGGCTTTAGGCCATGAAGTGAAAGTTGAACCATTTGCAGCTTACACAGGGGATTCTATGAATGAACTGCCCGATTGCGCGGCCAAAGCGGCGGCTCCATATGGGCCTTGCTATCCTTCGCTCCGGGATGATTGGAGGCAGGTCCTTGTCAGAGTGGTTGTGGCTTTTGCCAGTTGCCAGGGCACGCCCGGTCCTGTGGGTTGCCTTCGTTGTATGATGTTGTTGCGGGTTGTGCAGGGGATCATGTTGCTAAAGTCTTTTACTCCACTACTTTGGCCTCCGATGTCAAAAATGAACCGGTGCACAGGCCTTGGGACACCGTTGCTGTTTGTCAGCGGCGAGTTGGAACCTTGAATGCATGCACGCTTCGGGATGGCGACGACAGGTCCGAGCTTGAGAGGGGGTTGTATGTTACTGGCAGGCAGAGCTCGTTCAAATGCAGGTCCGTGAGTTGGGGGTTAGGTTTTGTGCGTCATCCAAGAGATCCGACTGCCAGCTTCATCCACCTGCACCTGCGATGATTGGATTCGCCCGGGTCCGCGGGTGAGAGAAGCTTGCAGCTGATGGTGCGATGCTTCACAAAGCCTTGTTTTCTTAAAGGGCTGTCATGTTGTTTGCTCGCTCTATAGACTCTAGGCTGCTGCAAGCGTGCCAGGAGGGCGGCCCTCGACGTAGTCCGGGATCCTGCAAAAAGCGCGGCGCGGCTGAGACGGAGACTCTCGACGCAAAGAGAGACGCAGCCGGGTTTTCCGAGGCGAAGGCTTCCAGAGGTAGTAGTTGGGTCGCCCGCCGCGGGCGTTTCCATTGTGGTTGTCCCGGGAGCTCATGCCGGCCACCTCGGCTGCGTGGCCGTGGCAAATGCGTCGAACTGCGTTCTGAGCTTCCCAACGCACTCTGGCGCAGGTTCCCCATGTGCGGGAGTCTCCTGAGGACCAGGACCAGTTGGCATGAAGAACTATCCGAGTGCATTCATTGATCACCTGCCATTCCGCACCGGCATCGATGCCTTGGGACGGCTGACCGTGACTATGCCAATCAAGAAGAAAAGACAGTCAAAGACAGTGCAAAAAAACCTCACTTCACTCACTTCCGAAAGGAGAGGTCGAAGAGCAACCGGGGCTGCGAGCAGGCTTCTGCGTGGTTGTGTTGCGCATCGCTGCAGGAGCCTCCCCAAATCTTGGTGTGCCAGCCGCTCGCAGGAGCACGGAGCACGTACGAACAGACTCAGACAGATCTCTCTCTCGGCAGGCGCAAGGCGAGTCCCTGCTCCCGCTTGTCAGCCCTCCAAAGGTTGGAACTCCAAGATACGGACAGAAATCAAACAGTATGGACAATGGACAGTGTGGACCTACTTGTCAGAATGGAGACTTGCTCGCTGGCAACGTCTTCACGGCACGAAGAGCCAGCATATGCGCTGGATCTGCGAGGGCTGATAGGGTGCGCCGTGGTTTATTGGGCATTCTGGGTATATCGAGTCATTTTAGTGGAGCGAGTCCGCTGTTTCCGCACAATGGGATTTTTGGACATGATGTGAGAGGTTTTCGATCGAGTAATGGTTCAGGTGACTTTGACTTTGCCCTCAATCGTGTTCTGCCATTCGCGGATTCTGACTTGAGCGTCAGAGCATCGCCCTCTACAGAAACCTACCGCCTGCAGGCAGAGAGAGAGAGAGAGAGAGAGAGAGAGAGAGAGAGAGAGAGAGAGAGAGAGAGAGGAGAAAGAGAGAGAGAGAGAGAGAGAGAGAGAGAGAGAGATAGAGAGAGAGAGAGAGAGAGGAGGAGAGAGGAGAGGGAGAGAAGAGAGAGGAGAGAAGGAGAGAAAGAGAGAGAAGAGAGAGAAGGAGAGAGAGAGAGAGAGAGAGAGGACCGCGAGAGAGAGAGAGAGAGAGAGAGGGGAGAGAGAGAGAGAGAGAGGAGAGAGAGAGAGAGAGAGAGAGAGAGAGAGAGAGAGAGAGAGAGAGAGAGAGAGAGAGGGAGGGAGACGAGCAGCCATGGCCCATGTGCCTTTGGCTTTCACGTTCTGGGACTCACTTTGGTAGTAGGCACACCGTCGTGTCCTGAACGGACTCCGGACTCTGAAGTGCAGAAGGCGGTGCAGAAGGCTTGGGCACAGGCGGCTCGTCGGTAATGATGGCCTCAGACGAAAGCAAGTTTCGACGCCAGGCTAAGCGGCTGGCCGGGGCCCCTGGGGGCCCCTGGGGGCCCCTGGGTCCTCCCGCGATGTCGTGCCAGGGTGTAGGATGCCAGTACGGGTAATAATCACGCTCCTGATGAACGACTTCGACACCCAATTTATTACCGCCATGCTGACAAGAAGGAAGCCTCGGGGCACTCCAGGCCATTCCGATCGTTGTTGCCCTGTCAGAAGGAAGCTGCTGCAAGCTTCTGCTTCGGGCCTTCCTGGGCTCCGAGCGTTACCATTCGGGTTCTGCCGCGTGGCCGTGGCCCCACGGTTGTTGTTGACATTCTGATCAGCTGTGTACAGCCCCTTCTGGCGTTCGCGCCTCAAGCAAGCAACCGTACAAGTGGAAGCCGTCTTTGACCCCTTTTTCGAATCCAAGCAACTCCTTGCATTTGATGTAGAAGTCGAAAGGCTCGTGCTGGCCAAGTGACTCCTCGGCTGCCTTCCGTTTCGGTACTCAGAGCATGGGCTCTCTGGTTTACCAACCGGCCCTGGCCAGCCTCCAGGGCGGTTGGAGGTTCCTGCCAGCACGCAAAGACCACGCCAGTCTCGGACCTGCAAACTCTGGCTCCTCCTCTCCGCCGGCGGTGTTCTGGTTCCCGCGTTTGGTGCCGTCTCGGATGCCTGGGTTGTCCTTCTCGCACATGTACTGAAGCACCTCGACACGGAGGGAGCGGCAAGCGAAGGCCGACACCCCACAGGGCCGGCACCATTTGGCAGATGACGTTGGGCTGGCCCAAGCCGCAGCCGTGTTGCACCACCTCAGCGAGGAATTTGTGGTGACTGCTGGACTGCTGCCTTAACCACACATCTCGTGGCTCCTCGGTTTCCACTCGGCAGATCTGCTCGCTCCGACTGCCACGCTCCGACAAAGGGCAGTAGAAGCAATTGCAGCACTTGCAGAAGCAGTGCTGTAGTGGCATGTTGTTAGCAGCAGCAACTAGTAATAGCAGCAGCAGCAGCAGCAGCAGCAATTGTAAAAGTCAATAGCAGGTAGTGGTGGTAGTCGTAGCAGTCGTAGAAATCGTCGTAGTCGTAGGCGTAGCAGTAGCAACAAAAGTAGCAGTAGTAGTAGTAGTAGTAGTAGTAGTAGTAGTAGTAGTAGTAGTAGTAGTAGTAGTAGTACTAGTACTAGTACTAGTACTAGGTGAAGCACCGCAAACGGTCTTGCAAGAAACCCTCGCAAACACGCAGCGGGCTCTCCAGGTCCCCTAAGCACCGCCGCGGCAACGACTGACCGCGGGCGCTCAACTCAAGAGCTACACACCTACTTACTGCCGTGCGCAAGTGGCACCTAGTAGCTTGAAAGGGCTTGAGCCAAAACGTTTCGTTTTGGCAAAACAATCAATTAATCAGGCATAGAAGAGACCGTTTCTTTATGAGTTGTATCTGCTGGATCCCGAGATCTCTGCGAAGAGGGTCGCGAAGAAAGACTTGCAAGCAGAGGAGGAGAGAGACGACACCCAGAAGGGCTGGTTCACAGACGACGAGATCGCCAATTTCAAGGGATTTTCCCTCACGTGAGTGACTACTCCAACTTGGAGAAGCTTGTGTTCAGGATTTGCTCGCAAGAGAGCATGAGGATGAGAACTTACACTTCGAGCAGTGCAAGACTTCAGCAGCAGCTCCAAGAAAAGAGAGCTTCAGCTGGAGGAGAACGTGGAGGACGTGAGCTGGAGGATTCTGAGGAAGTCCGCAAGAAGCTCAAGGGTGCGACCACTCAGAAGATGATTAGCGGCCGCCAGTCCGGTAGGTTGCATCGACCATGAGCAGAACTACAAAGACCAGCGAAAGAAGCTCACTCGCCAGCTCACCCAAGTGAGCACAGAAATGTCAACTGTGGAGCTGCTCAGGGTCTCGCTTGACTATAAGAAGCACAAGATGGCAACCTTGGTGCTGGAACAGGTGGTAGAGTTGGAGGGGAAGCTCTTTTCCTGCAAAAAGGAAGTGATGGACAGCCAGCACAAGTTCCCCAGGCAGCCCGGGAAAAATCACAAAGAGTTGGCCAGGCAGCTGGCGGAAGTCGCGGCAAGCATCTCTGAAAAGTTGAAGCCTCTGAAAAAGGAGCTCTCATTGCACAAGAAGTGGGATCAAGAGAATGCCTGAAACTCACTTGGCTCGCAGCCCCTGGCCTGCACAAGGCCACCTGCTGCTTTTCGCAAAGCCCCAACTCTGGGGCATCTAGATTTCACTCCGGACGAGTCGCTTTTGGCGGTGTTGAAAACATTTTTGATTTGCAGGGTGCCGCCAAGGGTTGCCTCTACTACTACTTGCGATTTTTTCCGCAGCTTTTTCGGTTTACAGCACCATGGCTCCGTTGTCCTTGATTTTGTTTTTGGCATGCTGGCAAGCTTGCCTGCAGAAGGCAATTGCAGGGCCTACCAAGAAAAGATTGAAGGATGAGGCTTCGGATACCTCTGAGGAGTTTCCCGACTATGCCATGGGATTTTATGGCAGGGAATATCTTGCCAGGTACCTTGGCAGAAAGCGAAATATGGAAGAAACCACCTCAGCCGGAGCACAGAGCTGCAAACTGAAAGGCAAGAAAGGGAAACACAAACGCAGCGAGAACTCTCAGGAGAGCTTTCAAGAAGACTCTTTGACCTGAGCTTTACTGGTGCCAAATCCCAATGCAAAGCAAGAAGAATAAGAAGAAAGCCCTCATGTGGCATGCTTTTCAATTGCCGCATGAACGGAGGGCAACTTTTTTGCTGATCCTGCTGCCTTGGCAAGGCGCCAGCCCGCACAAGGCTCCAAAACTTGGGTCGCTGTGAGGGAAGCAGAAGTTGGGATGGGGCGATGAAGCAGTGATTACTTTTGCCTCCACGGCCATGGTGTGCCTGTGCAAGGCACCATGAGAAAGGAAGGTCTTGATTTCCTGACGATCAATCTTCCCGCAGCTCAAGATGCCAAGCACAGATCCCCTGTTCCCTTCACGTTGCTGCAAAACGATTTTCACTGGGAGTATGACACCAAAGACAGCATACTCAAAGTGCTTCTCTGGAGCATGCAGTGCTTGAAGGAAGGGAAATCCCCCAGCTGCAGACATGATGGAAGCCCGTGGCGCAAATTTCGACAAACAAAGACATATGTTGGGAAGGACTTGCCTGCAAAAAGGCATTCTCGTGCGCGAATGATAGAAATTCAGGCCTTAGCAAGGCCGAATTCTTGACCACAGTTCGCAACAGGGGCAAGACGGTGTGCCCACTCGAAGTTTGATTTTGCCTGATTGGCTTCATGCCGTCGACATGGGTATTTCGGCTGATATTGCTGGGCAGCTCTTGCTCGAGGAAGGCAGAAGTCTCAGGGATAGAGTTCCGAGCTTGTGGCTAGATTTGCAAGAGCTTTACAAGGAGCACATGGTGACGGACAGGCTGAACAACTTGACACCTGAAGTGCTAAACAAAAGGGAAAAGAGCACGGGTCCGCCGACCCTCAAATGCCGGCACCTGGCGCCTTTGCTTCCGATTTTGACAGGCAAGCATTTTGCCATAGGCAGTGATCACGAAGTGGCTTGCACAGGCTGGCCAAATTTGGGCCAAAGTCTACAACAAAGTGGAAACGAATGAGCACGCCGGCTCGGACAAGGCTTCTGCCAAAGTGGCTAGCCAATACTTGGCTTTGGAGAAGGAAGCACTCGAAGCAGAGGACTTCTTTTGAACTGGCGTGTCATGCCCAAGCTGCATCAATTCCAACACATCTGTGAAAGCAATTTCAATGCCAAGGATTTTTGGTGTTATGCAGATAAAACCCCAGGAGGGCACATAGCACAGCTCTTCCTTCGCAGAGGTGGTGCTAACAATCCCGGCGAAAACTGTGCTCGAGCATTGGAGAAATGGCAGCAGATTTCGCCATTTCCTGCCGTTGCCAGGCCATGAAGCAAAACAGTTGCTGCTGCTGCCGCTGCTGCTGCTGCTGCCTGGACCGGGCTCGAAGAGGTTTGCTGTAGAGCTAACCTGCAAAAGGCTCCGTGTAGGAAGACTTGAGCAACTCAAGAGCTACACACCTACTTAAGACTTACTGCCGTGCGCAATTGGCACCTAGTAGCTTGAAAGGTCTTGAGCCAAAACGTTTCGTTTTGGCAAAACAATCAATTAATCACAACATGCAAAACTGAACCTAAGCTGGCAAAGACCTGCTGTACAAGCTAATGTGAGTATTCTTGTTGTTATTGGTATTAGTATTACTGTATTATTAGTAGCAGCAGTGGGCAAGTTGAACATAAGGAATCATCGATTTTTCTTCGCTCAAAAGCAAGGAGGGGCTGGCTGCGAGCTTGCCCACTGAGCTACGGCAGTTGAACCAGTCCGAATGTGGACTCAGATCTGCAGGGCTTTGGCGATTGAGGTAATCTCTACACGTGAATACCACAGATGGAAATTGTTGCCATAGACGCTTGCCGTCTCCGAAACAAAGTGATCTCTGAATTCTCACTGCTAGAAACTCCAAACCAAAAATGCCCGCCTATCCTGTCAGAGCCACGACTGCAGTTCGTGGGCTTGTGGAGCTGCAGGTGGCCAACCGATTGCATATCATTTGGCCTCTGTCTTTTTGAAGACCACTGCGACAACCACAGCGCAACAACAACAACGTTCAACCGTACACTGGGGCCACATTTCCTTTTTGGTTGATGGTTGTTGCCCCCCTGGTTCGAGTCCCCATTGATGAATGTTCACGGCGCTTTGCTCGCGGGCTGCACTTTTTTACAGGGATTTTGCTACAACCGCACTGCTTTGGCTGCCTTCCGTCCGAAAATCCCGGCATGTCCGGAACTTGTTTCACCCCTTTTCGCGCTCGCGCAGAAGCTCTCCGACGTTGCAGAAAACGACATTTCACCGTGGGACCTTGTGGCTCATCCAGAGGTTCATACAGAGAAGGGGGGAGGATTAAGAGGTGGTGAATCCGTTTAGGAACCTTTTACTGCTTCGGCGAAAAAGGCTTTGCCAACAAGAATCAAGACGCCTTGCTGTGGGCAGTTTCACTTGCCTTTTCCGATCCCCCCCCCCCCCCGCCCCCGGCCCCCCTCCTCCGCCCCTCCCCCCCTTCAGCCTGGGTGAAGCGGCACGACTCAGGAAACGGACTCTCAATTGGCTGGTAGTGGCTACAATATCAACTTTTCGGTTGAACCCCCTGCTCCTCAGGTCACTGCTTGCTGAACCTCCGATGCCATGGCCTTCACGCTTGCATCAGGGGCTGCGCTTTCTCCCTATTATACGCTGCGGGTTTAGGGTTTCGGGCTTTGGTAGGCTTCCGGGTAGCTGCTTTCCGAAGCAATGCACCTGCTTCAAGCACAGCCAGGCCGACCCGCCCCCTTCAGCGTTCAAATTAGGCCCTCGTTCCGCAACTATTCAAGTCCTACCGGGGCTTGAAAGCGCCTTTTGAGTTCCGGCCTCAAACGTCACCAATAAGAACTTGAGGGCTTGACTTTAACAAACTGAAGGGCTCAATTTCTTGTCTTCGGGGCTTTTGGGTGTGCCTAAGGGCTGAATACAGGCTCTGTGCAGGATCGAGATGCCGTGCCTGAGTGGTCAAGCGCATAGCTTAATTTGGAAACTCGTTTTTGTGCGATCCTGATTGGCTAGTTTTGGAGCCCTTCAGAAAGCTTGGCCAAGAAATCCACGGCACCCTCATAGCAAAAACAGATTTCTTTAACGGCGCTGTCGCTGTACAGAAGGTTTCGACGCCGGGATTCGAGAGAAGGCCTCGACGGTTTGGCCGTCTCTGGCCGTCTATCACAGACTTGAAGGATTTCGGCGTCTGAAGTCTTGCAAGACTCTTGCAAGTCTTGAGTTTGAGCTGAGCCTGAGATTTGGAGGTTTCAAGTAGCGCTCCACGGGGACGCGCCACGGAGACTTTCAGCCACGGGGGATGACGCTAGCGGCCGCTAACGGTGGGTCCCGTAGGGTCCCGGACCCACTCGATGTAGAGCTCGGAGCCCTGGTAGTAGGTCATGTGCCCCTGAAGAGAACGAAAGGCCAAAAAGCGACATGTGCCCCTTCTGTGCTTCTACTTCTCTTCTGCTTCGCTTTCTGCCTTCATGGCACCGCCCTTGGTGGCATCGTAGTCCCGGTTTTCGTCCTGTGTGGCAGACGTGGACTCGACCCCTCCTAGAGGCGCGCGCGCACGAAGGCTAAGGCTAAGGGTCCTGGCAAGCGTTCTGACAGTTGTCGCCAATTTGGTAACCACCTCTCTGTCACTGACATCCCTTCAGTATGCTGTTCATGGGGCCTTGAGCTTACGACGGGTTTAAAGGGATGATCATGCTTACGGCGGGCTTTGTCAGGGACACTCATGCAAACGACTGCATTTTCAGGGATAAAGAGTGGCATTCGTTGCGCGGCCAGCGGTTTTGGCATCCATATTTCCACTAGGCTATCATGGAGTGACGAACCAGGCAATCATGAGACGGACAAACCTGGCAACAGGACAGGGGTTGCACTGTAGGTGATGGGAAGGCGCGGGATAGTGCAATCACGAGAGCTCTTTTGACTGGATGCGTTATCCCATGTGCATGCTACTCTTTGGCTGGCAGCAGCCTTATGCAGTTACAGCCTCTGTCACTGCTTTCGATACGTCGTGACAGGTTTCAGGCCTCTCGTCAGCCTCCACAGGTACTGATGAACATAACATCGCTTCCAGCAGCATCTTCTGAATCTTCTTGCGTCTCGCGCCAACGCTGGATCAGCATCACTACCGAATGCCATTCCCATTTCAGTGTCAAAAAGCCTGTCGACGTATGGCAGCTTGTCGCTCTTCAGCATTCTCGTCACTCAGTATCAGTATGGATAAGATACAAAAGGAGACAGGTGACCAGGTGTCTACGTCGCTTCCATCTGGGGCCGAAAACCGTGCCTTGCGCGTTGTTCTGGGAGTCGAAGAGCCGGTTCCTCAGGCGGATTCGGGCGGGCACTGCTTTGGCTTTAGCTGAAATGTGCTGCGCAGGATGCAGCGCCATGCAGCATGCCGCGCGCTTCACGGCCGCTTCCGCTGCCAGGCGGCTGGTTCTGTGCGTTGTTCTGCTGCTCGCTGAGCCTCAGACATGTGTGGGCCAGGCCATGCGCCCTTTCTGCAAGAGCAGCTTCGGCAGTCGCCGAGCGGCTTGTTGTTGGAGCCCCTGGGGTTGTGCAGATACACGTCGCCGACGGCGTAGCGGCAGAAAGACACCTTTAAGACCATGGGCCAGGGCCGATGGGAAGAGCACTCCCTGCAGCCCGAGCGACGAAGAGAAGCAGCCGCCCAAACCACATCGCGCCAAGGGCCATGGCGCGGACGTTGCTTAGCCGGTTTAGGGTTTACATCTGGGTTTTTTTCACCCTTCTCTCTGGCCGCAGCTTAAGCTCGAAGCGCATGGAGGATCCTTTTGAACCTTCAACTCCTCGCGCGGGCTCACGCATTGCTTGGGTCGCCCTTGCGACCCTGGTGGTCGCATGTGGGAGTGGGCTACGTTTGGGCACAGATTGGCATGAGACTTGCTTAATACCCATCTGATCCGCAGGGCAAGACGGCAAACACTGGCAGGAGTCAATACATGTCTACGTTCTGAAACTTGCCAAAACGCCCAGCCCAGCCCAGCCCGTTAAGTGCAGATTCGGCTGCGACTGCAACGGCTCCAAGCAGTGACTTCTTCACCCTTCCGACCAGTAGCCGTGAGAAACACATGCCTCCCCTTTCCACTCTCCAACCTCCTTCGTGCACTTGCGTGGTCCCTTACTCGGCGGGTTGCGAGGCGGTTGTTTTTGATGCTTATAGAAACACCTACAGGTAGCCTATCCCCGTGCAACCCCCTGGCTTGGAAAACTTGATTTTTCTCATCGGTCTTGCCGAGTCTTGCCCTTTCCCTGGCCTTTCGCTTCCCACATGAGCCTTGCATCGACCGACCATGCAAGATATCCGTTGCGAAGTTGGGGAATCTCCTAAACCCCCGAAGCTGTTGATTATACGCTACACCCAAAGCACTTAAACCCTAAACAGCCTAAGTCAGGCCTGCATCGCGCTACCTGCGTTGGTGTTTACCGGGTTGTGCCAAGTTGACAAGTTTTTCACTACAACTATGTGTGGGTTGCCTTAAAAACGTTCAGCAGTTTGTGCATGCGGTCATCGTCTCTACTGCCTCGTAGGGACTTCATCAGCTGCAGTAGCATCCACGCTGCTGAACATAGCCGACGCTCCCCCCCCCTCTCTTAGCACTTAGCCGCACAGGCTAGGGAGTTCACGGCTGGGCACACTGAACGGAAGAGGTGAGAAGGGCAGGAACCTTAATGCAAACCCAAACGCGAGACCCAAGAGTGAGCGAAACAAGAAGCACTGCGTCTTTCACAAGCGTCAGAGAGGGTGTCGCCTTGCTGATGCTTGTCTGTATGTGCATGTTGCAGGCAGTGTTTTCAGAGGCATCATGCACACGCCTCTTTTTGCCGAAGTGGGTTACGCCAGCAGGAACATTTAGCTCACAAAAACGTGAGAGGCAAGTCGAACAAGCTAAACCAGCGAACTCGGGCGGAACTAACCAAGCTCTACCCCCTATCAAGTATCAAGTGGCAGAAAGCCCGCATCTAAAAGAGCGGCCCAATCCTCAGCGGAGGCCGACCTGTACTGGCTAGCCGTGTACGCGATGAGGACACACCGATCTCCATCCTCATCAGCCGTCCACGGCGTTGTGCCATGAAGTTTGCCGTTGCCGTCGAACAAGACGGCCTGAGCGCTCGTCTCAAATAGACATCCCGGCATGAGTCCTTGGTCAGTGTCCATGTACACGGTGCCCGAAGGTGCATGAAGCCACAACTCTCCGCGACCATGATGGGTGAGGCGATCATTAAGCTCATGTGACCCGTCTCACTCGAGTTCTGGCGATCATAGTGTGGCAAGGTGCAGTTGTTGTACGTGTACCCCACAGTCAATGTCGTCCAGCGGTGACGCGTGTGAGTGGACAAGACGATCGGGTTCATGATGCGGCAGGCTGCTTGAGGTTGGGCCGTGCGCCGGTGCAGCCCGACAAGTCCCCCCTTCTGGTACAGTCCTAGCTGCAGGCTCTTGCCAGATGCGATAGGCCTTCCGTCCGGCTCGAACGGCAAAGCAGTAGTAGCAGTAGCAGTAGCAGTAGCAGTAGCAGTAGCAGTAGCAGTAGTAGTAGTAGTAGTAGTAGGAGTAGGAGTAGGAGTAGGAGTAGGAGTGGGAGTGGGAGTAGGAGTAGGAGTAGGAGCAGTGGCAGTACAGTGTGTGGGGAAAAGAGGTCAGATATCCGACCAAGAATCTAAGAGATCTTGCTGATCTTGGTCAGCAAGATTTTTGGAAATTTTTGGGAATGGGGACAAGATTGCAGGCAAGCTTGCTTCGCTCGGAGGGGGGGTCGAGATATCACGGTACAATCCTGCCAATCTTGCTCTAGTATTACTGGGTGTGGTGCGGGGACCGCACAACCTTGCACCGCTTGGACCGCTTGGACCACTTGTACCGCTTGCGCCACTTGAGCCACTTGCATCAATTCTCTTCGTGAAATGATGCAAACGGCGCATAAGTGGTTCAAGTGCCGCAAGTGGTTCAAGTGGTGCAAGTGATGCAAGTGGTGCAAGTGATGCAAGATTTCAAGATTCGCCCCTCCGCCCCATCGTGCACACTAGATAACAAGAGTAGCAAAATCTTGGCCCAGCGGCGACCCCCCCCAAAAAAATGGTTGGCTAGATTTGCAAGATTAACCGACGGGCAAAAGTTTGGCCCCAAGCAGCGCGCTTCGTTTCCCAGCACAATGTGGTAATAGTAAGTATAGCGTGGGGATTTGATACTGATGTATCGCTCACTTCACCAAGAGCTGATGTGCTGATTTTGGTGGTTGCCAACTGCATTGATATATGATATACACGTACTTGTGGGACAGGACTCTGATGCTTCTCGCTGAAGATGCAGAAACACTTCATTCGTTTTCCTTATCAGCAGACTTCGTCCAAGGTCTGTCAATGCAGGATTCAGTGGGACAGCTTGACGTATGGCTCTACCGAAGATGGGTAATAGCTACTCTGGCTACAGTTCACTCGAGCCAGTTCTTCAGCCACAACAATTGCCCTTATCGGAGATTGCAAAATGAAGCCTGAAGCCTTCTACGTCCCGGGAACCGGAAACGGAGTAGCTTGACAGGTTGGTAGCTCGTAGCAATGTAACTGTATCTTCCGAGCTGACAATGTTTCGCTTTCCCCACGCGTACGGCCTCCACCCCTATGCACGAGCTGGAAGATGTCCGCGACTTGATCGCAACTAAGGCTCTAAGGCTCCGTAGCAATGCTGAGAGGAGTTTGTCAGGCTTGTTTGCCAGTTCGCAGCGTTAAACTGGTAACACGGAAATGCATCGGCAACACTCCGGATCCCTTTTTCAGCAACACGCTCTGAACAGAAATCTGACGTCAGCAGAAAAGCGACTCAATCGACAACTTCTATGTCATCATCAAACGTGCGATCCCGAGTCTGCTGTTCGCACGGTTGTGTGCTCCAGTATAGGGCTCACAGCGGCTATCGCGTTGCGCGAACCTACTGCCATTTCGAATGATCTGTTCGCTCACAGATAGTCAGCGCCACGTTGGCCCATGATCACGTTCTCTCCCCATTGATCAGCGCGTGCCCTTTCTTCAGGAGAATTCGTGTTCTTCCCCGTGCCTTTCCCTCCTTTGGGATGTGCAAGACGAGCTTTGGAATGTGGAGGACCCTTAGGTTCAGGTGGTCGAACAAAATGCGGGCCAGACGCACTCGCTGTAGTCAGGGCAGGAAAGGTACATGGTCGTGCAAATCCAAGCCACTGAAAATTGAACATGTTGCTGACTCACTCATGAAACATACATAGTTTGCTGTCTAAACGAACGAATCAGTTTGGTCCAACTTGAACAACAGAATGACTGAATGCTTGCCTGCAACTCACACTGAGCACAATTGCGGAAAGGCTTCATTTTGCTGATCGCTGTCTCCCCCAGCAATCTGCCGCACGACCATGGTGAGACTTCATGTCATGTCATGTTCAATTGTCAATGTTTGTTCAGACTTCAGGCATTCAGCAAATGAAACTCAATTGGCTGCATAGCGCTGAGGATAATTGTGGAGTGCCCTTAATCTCTAAAGTGCCCAACTCGAGCACAACAACATGTTTTCGAGCAAAGCTGATACAAAACCATCAGGTATCTGCATCATCAGGCTTCTGATTGTTTTCCTCTGCAGCCTGGCGGCAAGCTTCAGCAACCTCTTCTCCGACAACGGCCTGACACTGCTTCAACAACTCCTTCTTGGAATTTTTGTGGGGTTGCGTCACATTCAAGTACTCCGCCATCAGTGTCAACTCCGCAAATGTTCTTTTGTGCCCTGAGCGGAAAGTACTTTGCACCAGTGGCGCTGGAACACCGGTGGCTTTGCTTTGAAATTTCGTCCTGCATCTGCCAACCATGCCACATCCTTGCCAGGGATCAGGGTCGTGAAGGAACTGCCATGAGCAACCGGCCTCCACCTGCAACCGCCAGCCGGAGCACTTGCCGCCATCATATTCTTCGGACGACCGCCACGCCAAAACCGCCCAAATTGAAGTGTCCCAAGACAATTGGTCTCTTCCACATCGCACAGAGTAATCAAATCATTTGCCCAAACTGGGCAAACGCAGCCCCCAAGTCATCCTAGGCAACATGTTTTTCTTAAAAGCTGAACAATTGAATCACAGAAACACCGCTACTCTATTGGCTCACCTCAGGCCTTCAGTCTCACGGTCTGCGTGCTCAAGTTGCTCTCACAGTAGTAGCGCAGGAACGACCACGCTGCAGCAGAAATGACCAACTGTTGCTCAGCAATTGTGTTCCAGGTTTTGCCTGACAAGACTTTCGAAATTTCCTTCGGGGGCTTGTGCAGGCCGGCTACAAACCCTGAAATCATCAGTGGCCCTGTGCCAGTACTCCCTGGGAATTTCTCTCCGCTCAATTTGGCAGGGTGAGCCATGCACGCTCCAGTGTGTCGGAGTTTGTCAGCAGCTGCTGTACACATGTGCCTGAGAGTTTTTGGTTTGCTTTCTGTGGCTGTTCGTAGGAGTTGGTGACACGATCATGCTATCCGGAACCGTGGCTGTGAGAAATCGCAACAAATCTCGCCCAGCTTGGTATCCCACTTGCCAACCGACTGACTGAAATTGCAGGGCAGTGTAGCGCATGCAAGGATCGCAGGTCAACCTGAGATCTGCAGCCAGCATGCTAGCCTTCGGCGCACCACTGCATTCCAGGCCTTGCAAGCATGGCAT